AGATTAATGTTCGATTATTTGATATTCAGCAAATCGCATGAAGTCAAGCATGGAAGAGTTGTTTCGCTTTCTTCTTAGCAAACTCTCGATGCTTACATCATAAGTTTGCGGTGGGTGTTAGATATAATTGTAATCTAGTTTCTTTATGAAAGGTAGTTTATTCATTTCCTTTATTAAGGTTACATTATAGAGTTTTATATTATTTTATAAATAATCTAGTTTGTAATCATTTCATAATATTGGATAATACGACTCGCTTGTTTAACAAGACAAAAGAAGAAGATAGATAAATACTATATTTTTCTTGTCCACATAGACAAGTTGCAAGCATGGAAGAAAACACCATAATTTTTCTTTTGAAATAATATGAGAATTAACACTAAGCTTTTTTCCTTGATGTAGACCTAACTTTCTACGAGGATTTCCACTAGGTGATGCAAAATCAATACCATCTATGATTGCTTTCTACTCTTTGGGGTTCAAAGTATCCCACGCATCCAATTGTAACATGTGTTAATTCAATTTTTTTTTTCCTATTCAAGAAATTTTAAAAAAATAAAATTATATCTGCAAATTTAGTTTCCCGAAAAGAAGTTAATTGAAAAAAAAAATAATAAAGAAATAATTTAAGACTAATGCATAAAATGTGTCAGTAATATTTAAAATAAAGTATATTAATAAATTTAATTTATTATAAAGAAAAAAAAATTAGACATTAAATACAAAAAAAATAATCGTCAATAATAAAATAATAATTAAAAATAATTTGTGTATCGGTAATATTGAAATAAAGGAATTAAAAAACTTCGACTTGCGATGAAATATTCCATGCATAGCTTGTTTAAACAATAAACATCGAAGGCTTCTCCAATGCAATAATGATCGAAGCGTTATGGGTGATTGTCGAGAACTTCGAGTCTTCAACGATGGAGGTGTCGTTTAGTGATGCGAAATATAATTGTTGACAATTGTTGTTGATAATTTTATTGGAGTTATATTACGGTACTATACAACCGTAGAAAAATTTCGACAATGAAAACCAAACAAAATCAAGATGAACCAAATACTTTCGTTGACTTTACTTACCTTCCAATTATTTTAATTTTAAATTTCTTTTTTTCAATTTTTCCGTCTTCTATATTTTCGACAAAAAGTTTCTTTGGTCGTTAATGTAAAAAAATAAGTATTTTACCGTTTTAAATTACGTAATGAAATACAATTTTAAATTAGCAAGAATCTCTCCATAGGTAATTGAAATCAAAAAGAATCCCTAGCAACAATCTCTCCTTAAGTAATTGAATTAAAAAGAATCCCCCTACAATAACTCTATGGTAGAGAGGAAATGAGTCTTGACTAATCTTTTTTATTAGATAAGAAAAACACAATCTAATCTGGCGTATGAAAAACGTGAGTCACAATAGTATTCAGGCACTGAGAGTTTTGTAGAGAGTAAAATGAGAGAGCAATCTTGCTTTGAGTGTTTAAAATTACATTATCTTTAAATGACATTAAGCGTGAGTTTTTATAATATGATATGTAAAATGATTATCTTCAGATAAAGAGACATGTGACCCCATCATAATGGTCGAGATGCATTTAGAGTGACTATTTCAAGTAAGTAACATCAATCAATTATAGAAGATCTTTATACTGAGAATCTTTTATGGAATGTGCCTCATACACCTCATATTGGTACTGCAGCACTTTGCATCGCCTCACCTTGTCTATTGAGGTTCGACCTCTACATGTGGGGCTCTACAGATTGCATCACTTCGACTATTGAAAGATCTCAAATAAGTTAGGTAGAGTGTGAAGTGTGGGTCTGTATTCGCTTACTATGTAGTTGCCACGTGATCGTTCTTGAACTCTCGTTGGAGAAGACGTAACAACCACTACGAGAATAATGCCTAGAAAGAGCCAACATGGGATTGGACCCTAATATTTGGCACTTACTAGCATAGAATGAAGCCACCATTGGACGATTAGATGAGAGCACTAATAACCCACCACCAGCTGTCCCTTGAGAAGTCCCATCTCCATGTGATTTTCAATTCTTCAAGGGACCCACCTAGATTATTTTAAGAAATTAAGTGACCTGTTACAATTTGGAGGCTTGCTTTGGCTGCTTACCATCTGTACGTTTATAATGTCATCACGGCCCCCCACCCATTATTCCACGTGATAATGAGTGAAATAGTAATTTTTTAAGAATATTTAATTAAAAAATAAATGAAAATTTAAAATTTACACGTAATATTATTTTATAAGAAAATGTGTACTAAAAAAAGAGAGAGAAAATGAATCATAATTTACTGGAGGCCAAACAAGGGCTACATGAATCTTTCTTCATGCGTAGCATAATAAAATAATCAACAAAATTAATTTTGGAGTAGCGAAAGAAGTTAGATGCTGAAAAACATCGTTACGTTTTGTAAAATTACGATAGATGATTCACTATGTCTAGAAGTTAAGAAGATATCGATATCTTTTATTCATCTGATAAATTTTTTCTATATAAAATATGTCGCGAAGTTTTTAATGATGGAATATAACAAAACTTTATGAAGAAAGATGACATTATAACTAACAAGATCCATTGGAGATCCTTTTAGGTTGACGTCTCGATCAATAAGGTATATATGGAACACAAATTCAATGGGGCCTAAATTTTTATCTTTCGGATAAAATCAAAGTATATTGTTTGCTCTAAGGGAAATTCGATATTTGAAAAATTGGAGTGCTAATCAAGAGACCGAAGAAAATGGATGTCAAGTTGAAGATGCATATCCATCTTAACGGCTCGGACATGGAGTATATTCAAATGCTTATTATTCATAAGGGATAAGGTTGGAGAAATGTAATCCCTGTTCGACAACCACTCTTTCATAATTTTTTTTTCTCATGCTCATTTTCAATCATATATTTTCATCTTTATTTGATGTGAAATTTTATCTTTCAACATGTCCTTGAAAAATGGTGGCTGTTTCATCAAATCAATCTTGAAATTCGTATGTTCATTTTTTTGAATTTTAATCAGATCGAATTATTCATTGGAATTTAATGAGCTCGATATCATGTTAAGACTGGTGGTTTCATCTTAAAATGTTAACTTGGGCAAATCAATATTGAAATCCACATATTCATTATTTTGAGTCTTAATCCGTTTGAATTGCTCATTAGAGCTTAATAAGCTCTGATACTATATTAAAATTCGAGGTTCTATCTTTAAAATGTCGATCTTATTAAGAGAAGTTGTACAAACCTGTATATGTTGGTCTATATTTTCATTTTTATTTGTTATGAGATTTTTTTTTCCCTTAATAGTATCTCTATTAGGTGCTAAGATCAACACTTGAAATTAAAAATAATTGAGCAACGGATTTACTTTGTACATTATTTATAATGTTACATATGAATGGTCCTATTGCTATATAATTACATATGAAGAACAATCATGCTAGACTTAAACTTATGTAGAAGACAATTGTTTTACATTTGATATACAAAATAGTTTTCTTTTTTTTCGACTCTGTTAAGTTTATCTAATACTTCAAATCACTTACGAAGGATGATTGATCCACTTGCTTGAAGCACTAGCTCGCGATTAATGCACTTTTTGTTGCAAGATTGCTTCTTAATATGGCAGACCAACCTATCCATTCATTCAGCAGCATAAAAATATAACTGCTATTCTTTTTAAGTTTAGGTGACCAACCAATTTCTTTTTGAGTAAGGCTGCTTGTAAATAATTATTTACAAATTGGCATACGCAAAAAGAATGAAACAAATGGGAAGAGAAAGAGAGGAGAAGGAAATCAGCTAAATTTTAATATACAAATAACATTATTCATTTTATTTTTTTAATATCCCAAATTGATATTTTTACCAATCGTTTTCTCCTTCAACCAAAACCAAAGAAATAAAAGATATGATGCACTTATCACCCGTCATTGTCATTACAAGTACGTATATTTTTCGAGTTTTTGTTTGTAATCCAGATAGGTTTAGAAAGGGACAATTGATCTGATTAAAAGATACCATGACCATGTTACACGCTATATATATATATATATACACACACACGTTGTGTATTATTTTATTTTATTTCGATACGATATTTATCCTTGACATCCTAATGGCATTGTATTTTATGTTTCTAGATCGGGCTATCTTGATTCTTACATATGGCTGGAAATTATACGTATGTATCTTTAGGTTACAAAAGTACTCTCGTGATATGTATGGTGAGCTAAAAGATTTATGTTTGGGAGTTATTTATAATCAATTTAAATTATAAATGAAAAGAAATGAGTGATAGATAAGTGGCTATCACTTGTAAATTCTACGAAATATGCGGATAAAAGGTGATTTGACTAATTATAAACGGATTATAAACAGGAAGCAAACAAGGGATTTTACATAAGAAATTAGAAATTAAAAGCTATAGTCTTGTCGTATATTGTAAGCTTCCGTAAGGCTATCAATTTATAACTACTTTGTAAATTTAGTTAAAGTCAAATATTAATTTAAAAAAATATGCATAATTACTACTCTTTAGCCGTTGTTTAATGGCCATTATTTTGAAGAAAAATGAAGTTTTGAATAGTGATTTTTTGAAGAATGCATAGTTAAAAATTAGGAAAAGTTTTAGGTTTACATAAAAAAAAAAAATTATTATGTAAATGTGTGGTAGAAATAAGTAGGAGAATTAAATAATTTTATTTTAAAGGAAGGCGAACGATGGCTTATTATTTACATATTTCATGAAAACTAGTATCTTTTCCCTTAGTATTCATCTTTATAAATCATTTATAAATTTGTCAATCAATTAAACTTGAGCTATTCTATTTGATACCAGAGAAGGATTTATCCTAACTTAGGTATATATGTTTTCACTATCTTCATATTTACAATATTCATGGAAAGAAAATTGGAATTTAATTGAAATCTAAAAATAAACATCAAATAATCTGATTTTTCAGCTATGGTTGCATTAATAATTAATACAAAGGCACTGCTATTGGAGGAGGCTTAACCGGCTTCTTCACCTCAACAGAGATTTTCGCAGGTAGCGGCGGCTTCCGTGGACATGGCATTGCTATGAACTTCGGAACATCATCCCCAGCCATAATAACTGGGAAGCTCTGGTTCTTATCTTGCTTCAAATTCTGGAAAAGAAAAAGAAGAAAAGAATACAAGAATTTATTATGTACCTTATTGAGAACCAATTCCACTAAAAATTGCTCTGTGGGACCAAATTGCTCGAAGAAGTTAGAACATTGAAATTACTTCAAAATGAGTAATTCGCTTATATTCAAGTTTGATCAATAAAAGAATTATAAGCTTTAAAACGAACCATGCGGAGGACTTTCATTTTGGAGGGGCCTTGATCACCATCTGCCTCTAGGTCATCGTTGGAGCGGTGGAGGGAACGGAGCTTGTCCCAATGGTACAGGCAGGAAAATACGCCGCTAAGACTGAAGATCACCACCAAAAGGAGGGCTGTACCCAAAGGAAAGCCAAGAGACGGTCGAGATCCCCCGCCGTGACTCGGCGGCGTAGCATGATATGGACTCTCCATCACTTCTTGTACTACCCTTTAATCCCAATCCCCGCATCGAGGGTGCAATGAAGCACAAAATATGTTTCCTTTTATACAAAAGAAAAATAAAATAGGATTATGCTGTGAGGCAATGGGAGGACCCTGGGTGGTGAGCTTTTATAAATTTGAAGCAATGGATGGGTGCGTGTAAAGGTACATTAGGTGTCCTGGAAATAGTACGGAAGGAGGATGGACTACGCACGCACGCCACCCCCACTCCCTACGCTTTAAGCTTTGCTTTGTTGCAGTTGAGTGGGAGCGGGTGGCCCATGGAGGAGTAATTTAATGTTTAGGGTTAGTGGTGGGCATGTTTAGTGAGGAATTAGCCAGGGAAGGAAAGGAAGATTGTGAAAAGTTGAAAGCTTTTTGTTTGGTACTCAATACTTGTTTGGTATAGAATTTTCGCTTTTACTTTTACTTTTACTTCTTATAGAAAAACTTACTAAGACCCTGTTTGAGAGAGATTTTGATTTTTCTACAATAAATCAATTCTCATTTTCAACCACACATTCTTCAATAAAATAATATTTTTCATCACATCAACAAATTTTTTTTTCAACCACACATTTCCCATCATTTCCCATCATATCACTATTCAAAATCAATTCTTCCTCCAAAAATTCCTCACAAACAAGCTCTAAGGAAGATACTTCAACGTCAGATTTCTCTAGAATTTCATCTGAGAAGATCAATTATTTTTAAAAAATTATTCAAACATATTTCAAAAACATCTTTTTAATCTTATAATTAATTTTAAACTTTTCAAAAATCTTGAGAAAAGGCCTTAAAATAACTTTTATCAATGGATATTGAAATTGGTTGATAATCTAAAGATTATGAAATTCAAAACTTGTACAATATATATATTAAAAGAAAAGAAAAATGGTGGAATATTATGTGGATGGAATATTACTATAGTTGTTAGAGGAGAAATCGTTGTTATAGCATATTTTGCGTTGTATGTTAATTAAATGACACGCGTCATTAATTAATTTCATCATTAAAAATAAATTTAAATTTCATAAATGAAAATAATAATGTCTCTACCAAATGAGAACGCTTAATATATGGTACTAAATGATTTGGAAAAAAATTAAATGTTAAATAAAATTAGATGATTCAAATTTATGATTAATAATATCAATACTATAAATCTATGATTTTGTTAAAGAAAAAAAATGTAACGATGAATCCACTACTTTATTGTCCAATAAAATCATTCCCATTTTTATTTAAACAGCAGTCTAAATGGCACTAGGTGATAGACTTAATGAAATGTAGAATTAAGTATTTCGTTTAATTACGCATTTCATTTAATATCACATTATTGTAACCTAGACGGGCGTTTTAACCAATGTTATAAAATGCGTAAAGCGTAATTAGACGCGGAGGCGAAGTTTTAAACTTTACTAGCTTAGACGAGGTTTAGGCGTAAAAAAAAACGTTTTCTTATTTTTAATATTATTTTAAAATTTTGATCATTTTGAAAATCATTTAATAATTAAAATAATACATATCAAACATATAAAATTATAAAATATTATATTTATTTAATAATTCCTATCATTAATCAATTATAGAATTTTGAAATTTTCAAAATGCAAAAATTAGAATTTTTTCATAATTTCAATTTTCAATTAAACAAATCGTACTAAATAGATTTATATGAACTTCACACATACTTTTGGAGTTTGTAACAAAATAATGAATTTCAAGATTGTAATCACATAATGTAGATAACAACATTACTTAAATCTTGTTTAACTATTTAAATAAGGTCATTTTTAATTTTTGTATAGATAAAATCTTTTAAAAATCTAAAATTAAAGTCAAATGAAAAGTCTTTTTAAAAATAAAAATAATAATTAATAAGCTAAAAGTCAAATAAAAGACTTTAGAAAAAACTAATAAAACGCGCGTGGAGAAAAAAGAAAGGAAGGAAAAAATTCAACATTTTAGGAATTGAAAAAAAAAAGTCCAAGCACGAAGCGAGGCGTTTTACCCTAAGTTTGGAGCCTAGATGGTAGAACACTAATTTTAACACCAGTAGGGTTAAAAGCATTCCTCATTAATAAAACAGTTAGATGACACGCCAAATACGGGTAGGAGTGGGCGCAGTCTGATTTGGTTCGGTTTTAAAGGGAACCGAATTAAATCGAATCGAATACCAATGAGAATTTTAGAAATGGAACAATTTGTTCCATATCCAACTATAGAACCAAACCAATCGGTTCCGATTCGGTCCAATCAAGTTTTTTATATTGAAAAATTTATAAAAATAAAGTATAAAACTACTTGTGAAATCGAAAATTGATAAAAATAGAGTATGAAATCATTTATCATTATTGAAATCTCACAACATAAAAAATCAATTAAACAATACAACAACACAAAAATTCATTCCAAAACTCAATATCAACCCATAAAAGCGAAAAATAATAATAATTAAACTATGGAGTACATCATAAATGGTAAAATTTCGATCGAAAATTAATTCTTACAAAATTTCATATAACAATAACCTGATTATCTTTAGTAATAATACTAACATGATTAACTCTAGTAATCCTCAAGGATCTCGATTCTTGATGGCTGATAATTTTGAAAATAACGAGAAATTTGAATTCTTATGGAATATTGAACTAAAAATATATATTTTCTCTATTGAGTTGCATTAAAATTATGGATTTGTAAGTAATTATAAAATTATTTAGATTTTTATTTTGATTATCCATTAAAAGAATGACGAAGAAGCATATGGAAAATAAAATTTTAACGTGAGATAATTTTGGGGTCAAGTGTTCAAAAATCTAGTGCATTTTGGTGCTAGTAAAAAAATAAATTTGTGAGAACCGAATTCACTATTGGTTCTCAAAGCAGCGTCGAGAATTGAACCGGAACCGATCGGTTCTCGACGTACGATCCCAAAATTAACCAATTTAGTAGAGAAATCGGACTGTACTGAACAATTCTATCTGGTTCTGGTCCATTCCACCCCGTGCTAGGAAAAAATACCCACCTCTTAAAACGGGCAAGTGTCAAATAACTTGCTGGTTTTACCAAATAGATAAAAGAAAAACAAATTCGCATTTATAGGATTTTAGTTCGATCGTGCGGCTGGAGACGACTTGTGTAAATTGGCCAATTCTTCAATTATACAGTTGTAAAGATTAACCAGGGTGTCCTTCATGGAGAATTTAATGGATATTAAAAGTCCTTGTAGAATTAGATGCCCCTAGAGAATTTAATGGTTTAAAAATTCATTAAATACAGGTGTCCATATGAGATTTTAATGAATTCACGAAAATATAGACGTTTTCCATAAACAGTGAATTTATAAGAATTTTATTATCAATGAGATTTCAAAAGATTTAGAGGAATATTTTCGAATTTAAAAACAAACATAATAAACTCTTTTAAAATTTTGTCCTTTTAATGAGATTCTTGCAAATTTCGTTGAAATCTATTTAAATTCATGAAATTCATTAAAATTAATAATTTTTTCACACCACAATTTTTAATTACTAAAATACTTTTTAATTGAATGAAATGTTAGATTTACACATTATCATATTTATATCTCAAATATTTTTTCATCACGTTCTTATTCTCAAATTCATAAATTATTTCTGATTATGTTTTATCTCCAAAACTTTCTTTAAAATATAGTTAAAAATAAAAAATAATGCAAAAATACGATTCAATATTTGACTCTCGTTTTAAAATACGTTAACAATATTTTTTGACGAAAATAGTGATTTAAGGGGAAGATTTTCATATCAATGAAATATTAAAAATAAGAATGTGATATAGAAAAAAATTTAAGAATACGAGTGTGATAATGAATAAATGTTAATGTAATTGAAATGTGGCGTAGCCTTTGTTAAAATTCATTAAAATCCTGATCGAAGGCACCCCTCTAAATTACTATCGGTTTCCATTTATGATCCAGACGAGATGTGAGTTTAAATTTACTAGTTTGAATTTTCATAATAATGTCCAATAAACTCTTGATCTTAATTATTTTACTGTGATAGTAGAGCTAAATTTTTTTATTGCAATATCACTCAAATTTCTTTCATTTTTTTTATGCATATTTACTCGTTAAAAAATAATTTGGAGCTCCATTGTAACATAGAAAATGAAGATCGAAAGTAGTCGATACTGTGTACAAAAGCTTTGAATTATATAATGGGCCTATAGCTTCCAATCCAAAATTTTAGGTATATAAGCCCAACTTTTAAGTCCATATTAAGCCCATATTTAGTAAAAAGATTATGGGAAAAAATATCATAAATCATGTATTAAATATGCAACAAATCAATGACTCGACATTAAGTTTAAAAATACAAAAATCGAGGGCATTAATTTTGTTTTAATTTTAAATAATAATATTATCAAATTAAATTAATCTACCCATCTCGCCCCCACCTCAACCCTCTTACACCAGTCGTGGGCATCCACCTGCCGCCAATAGCCACCCCGTCGACGACTTCTTCAATCGCGAATATGAGTATCGTTGCCTCAAAAGGTAGAGATAGAGGGAGAAACATAGTGGCCGTATGAGAACATTGACTGGTGTATTTTACAGAATACTTAAATGAACAAATAACTTCAATTCTCAAAGTCGAAATTTGGTTAATTGAATTTGTGACCAACTCAGATAACTGAGGTCAGAGAGAACATTGACATGTGACTAGATCTCTTGAATCTGTGACATGTGAGCTATGCACTTCGACATGTGATATGTGACATGTTCCAATGGTGTGTGATCAAATCTCTTAGATCTGTGACATATGATTTGAGCCAAAGGTCTGTGACAAAATCTCTTGTTTTCGTGACCTGTGACTTATGAACTTGACATGTGACTTATGACCTGATTCAACGGCCTGTGAAAAATGTCTTGGGTCTGTGACCAAATCTCCTGAATCCGGGACATGTGACCTACGCACTTTGACATGTGCCCTGATACATGTGAT